AGAATGCCATTTCTCCTCACTTGGCCTTTTCCGGCCAGAGGTTTTGTACCAAGTGTCTACTGGCACATTTGTTGGAGGCCTAAAGGTCAATGGCCTCTTTTCTTGGTTAGAACCTCTTCTGGGATCATGTCGAAGGTCAGCATTCTCCCTTCTCTTATTCGCTGCTCTTACGCCTTGAATGTGCTCAGCAGCTTTTTTATCAAAGATCGAACTGCATCTTGGACACAGCATCACCTCTGATTTCTTTTTCTGGCATCTTTGTAGAAAATCTGCCAAGTTTTCGTTTTCCCGAGGGAAAGCAGTCTTATTAGCCTGTTCTTGCCTCATGGCCTCTTCTGATGCTTTTGGGTCAGAAAGTTCAACCATGTTGATATTCATTGTATCTTTGTTAGCAAGAGTTAACTGCTTCATTTGTATCTCCAGATTCTCCGTCTGGCCTTGAACAGTGGCCAAGTGGGAACTGGGTTTTGATCCAGTTTTTTGTGCTTCAGCGGTCTCCGACTTTGGGTTTTCGACCGCTTTCTGGACAGCTTCAATTGTCTTCCTGGATAGATTTCCAGAAAAACTGCCAAAGATTGGCATGTTGATGTGGTCCTTTGAGACTTCGACCATGGTAATCCCTGGCTTCTTCGACTGGACCCTGGTTGCCTCTATCACATTCACCTCAGAGGGTTCAGCATAGTGGGCCTCAGCCTTCAATGGATTGGAGTCGACAGCCATGGGGGATTTGTCAGCAAACTTCAATCTCCCTTCTTCAATAGCGTCTTGCACAAGATTCCTGAAAAGAAAACATTGAGAAGTTTTATGGCCTAAAAAATTATGATATTTGCAAAAACCTCTCTTCTTTCTTTGATCAAGAGGAGGCACTTTTACCCCTGGGGGTACTATCATTTGGCCATCTTTAACTAGCAAGTCGAATATTTCATCACATTTTGTGATGTCAAAACTATAAGTCTTTTTTGGGAACCTATCGTTGGTCCTTTCTGGACCAATGGGATTTTTCCCATTTGAGGGGACTAACAGTTTACAAGAGTATGGTGGCCCTTGTTTCAGCTCTGCTAAATCGACTTCTCCTTCTTCGACAGTTAAGGTATCGTCGAAGGATTCTAGATCTTCGTCATCCATCTCAACGTACGCTATCCTTTCTCTCTTGTGAGTTTTCGTTGCCTTAGCTTTTTCAGCTTTGAGGCGTTCGACCTGTCGAACTCTATCGGCCAGTTGGGCCATGTCTCTTAGGTACTGGGTGTCTAGCTTCTTCCTAATGGAATAATCTAAACCGCCTGCGGCTATTTCGACCAACTCATGTTCTGGCACTTGTGTAAAACATCTCGCCTTGAGCAACCTAAACCTATTCAGATATTCGTCTATAGGTTCAGTGAAACGTCTCTTCACACTGGCCAGTTCTTTCAGGCTTATCTTGGTTTGCCCCATGTAGAATTGTTCATGGAACAATCTTTCCAACTGGGTCCAATGATGGATCGAATTGGGGGGGGAGAGTTGTAAACCAAGTAAAAGCGTTCTTGGTTAAAGAACTTGGGAAGTACTTGATCCTTAGGTTTTCGTTATTCGAAATGTCTCCTGCTTCGATCAAGTATCTCGCCACATGCTCGACAGTAGATTCTGTCGTGTCCCCAGAGAACTTGGTAAATTTGGGGACTTTGCATCTAGGAGGTAAGTCCGTTTGTAACACATATTCTGACAATGGAGATGTAAAGTTGGGCCTTCGAAAGCCCATGTTCATCCCATTCTGAGTCATGATCCTTTCAATCATGGTTGCCAGATTGTTTTCCAAACCCATGTTTTGGTATTGGATATGCTGAACCACTTCGTCAGCATTTTGGTTTCTGTTAACTAACCTTACCTCTGGGGTTATTACCCTAGGTTCCTCGACAGGTTGTTCCAATCGTGCCCTAAGGTTTTCTTCGACAGGCTGTTGAGCCTGGTTAATGGTGGTTTCTTCCTCTAAAAATATCCCCTGATTTCCCCTTATTTGCGCCCTTTGGGGCTGTCGAATAGGTGGGGGTACTCCAAAGAAGTCAGCCAAACGCGTCATTTGCGCTGTAACTTGCTGATTCGATTGAGTAGTGTTTTGTATTAGAGGGTTTAGCACTGTACTCAAAGTTTGTGCCAACATTTGCACCATATCATGGTTGCTTTCGTCCATTTGTTGCCTCAAGACTGCTGTCGAGGCATTTGTAAGGCCATGGGCTACTTGGGACGTTCCTCCTAAGAGTTGGGTCCTATTTCTATTCGCCATGCCTACTCCAGAGCCTTGAAGTGGCGAAGAGGCACTCACTAAAGGGTCTGAAACGGTGGACGCAGCATTCGTCAGGCTTGCCACTTCAGAAGTTGGCATACCATAGAATGAAATAAATCCTGGGGGAACCAAAGGCCTTGTGCCTAAATTTCCCCTTGGTGGGGGGGTTCCCAAAGGCATCCTGGGGCCTGTTAACGAAGGTGTTGGCCCCGTGGTTGTGACCGATACTGCTGGTGTCGAACCAACATTTGTCGCTTCACTTACGGTCATATTAACCGTTGCTCCCACACTCGTTTGTGGGATTTCGTTAGTGTTTGGCGGATTCGCCATCTCTTCCCTTCTTCTGGTAGTATTGTTATCGTTAGTGTATATTCTACCACTTCTCAATAACATACAACTCGAAAAGATGAGATTATTTTCAACAATCAACACACAGTCCCACCAGGTGTGCCAATTTGTTTACCTTGGGTTTTGGTAAACAACCGCTGATCCTCCAAATGGTTACTTATTTGGTTACTCGCAGGATCGATCAGATTGATCCTAGGACATAGGTTGATTTTGAAGTTTGATTAAATTGGATAAGGCTTTAAATAAAAAGGTTTCAAGTAAATTGCATGAAGGAAAGACTTGGTAAAATAAACAAGGCTTAAAGTAAAGGGTTTCGACAGGAATGTAAAGAGGAAAGCAAGTAAATTTCTGGAAAAGTAAATGACTTTGATTAATAAAATTGGTGTTTCACACATACATTTCTCAACAATTCTTTCTCACACGCTGGATACTCGAATCTATATGAGTGACTTTGTATAGAATTGTGAACACACGCGAGAAACTACATGTCTACTACTATTTATACTAAAACATCCCAAGTAACCGTCGGGCAGTTACACTGCTTCGAGATCAATCCACTTGGCACGTTCTCCATGCTCGACGCTCCAGATCCTTGCACGTTTGCACGTAGTAACTGCTGGAAACCGTTTTCCCTCCAAAAGCTTTGAATTTCAAACTGCTCCACCCTGAACCATCGAACACTTTCGTCCAGAGACATCTTCGACGTCGAAGGCAACCAGCCTTCTTCCTTGGAAGAAATCTTCTAAGTACTTTGCCATCTTTCGACGGGCATTTCGACAGACTTAGCCAGTCGAAGACGACCTTCAGCTTTAATGGCTGACATCAACAAAACAAAGGTGTCGAATTTAGGAGCCAACAGCGTCGGTAAGCTATTGAGCGAGTCATGCGGTATCTTAAAAAATCGTGAATCTCGATTTGAATTATCATGATTTCAAGCTTATCATAAAACTTAGCATGATTCATTAACAATGTTTGTTTCAGTGTTGTATACTCTTATGGCTTTTGAGCGTTCAGAGTATCCTAACATGATACACATTGCTTCATAATCAAACTTGTTAATGTTAAGCATAAAACAATTATAAAGAGAAGGGGATTGTTACTGATAGTTCATGTACTAATGAGTTTACTCTTTTTATATCCCTTCATAACCACCATAGCTATAAGTTCCACATCTTGGAACATATGCCTTTTTTCCTTTGTGTGTTGAGAGCATCAATATTCCAGATCTCAGAATTGGTGTCTCAACTTGGCTGTTAAAGATATCTGTAACATAAACTATTTTGTCTTTTGGTACCCATATCTTCTTTTGTCCTTTTTTGTTAGTTCTCCAAGAGGATTTTCTTACCCAGGGTTTTTGTGCAAAATAATTATATTGTGTGTGTCCATAAGTGAACTGGAAGTTCAAAGCTTTTGATTTATTTGCCGTTTGTTTTGACTTAGGTTTGACCTTAGAGTTCTTAAATGGCACATAACCACAATCTCTTTTTTCATTTATGCTTACTCCATAGATCATATAAGCCATCTTGCTTTTGTCTATGTTTTGTGCATGTAATGTTTGAAAAGATATGTCATATTTTTAAATGATAGATTCAGAGTTTATAGGAGCTTTTAAAAAAACGTCTCCTTCAAGTTATATGCTCTTTCTTTTTAAGGCCAATTTTTATTTTTCAAGAATGCAAATATTTTCTTTCAGATTAGATATTTCTTTCAGTTGCTCACTATAGACTTCAGAGTCAACTTCAAGAATCAGAGCGAGTTAAATGAGAGAATACATCTTCAGTGTCTGAGTCTGATTAAAATTCAGATTCACACGCTTCTGTGTTTTCCATCAGCATCACATATCAAAGTGGTTCAGAGTGCGCTTACATATCAAAGTGTGTTTGTTTCAGATTTTATGAATCTTCAAATTTCGCAAAGATCAAACTTCAGATGCACTTTGTTCAGAGTCTAGTTCGTCCATACTTGACTTTTCATAGTTAAGATCTATTTTCTTTGATATACACACTTAATAATATAATTAGAGTACAAAATTATTCTCTGTACACATTAAGTTGAACCTAACTTGTTACAACAACCTTTTCTTTTTGATGATAACAAGTCCATGTATTTTGATGAACACTTTTTTATTTGGATACTCAAATATATAAAACATCATAGTTGAGTTTGTAAATTACACGAGTTTTGTTTAGTTAAAATTAAAAACACATGTTATCATTTGAAACTCTTTATCAATCCAGCGGTGTATATGCCGTCAAAGTTCCGATGCCTTTCGCGCACTAAAGTATGCAAACCCCTCCCTCCTTTTCCATCTTTGCGGTATTCTCAAGTAATTTTGTTTAGTTGGAAATTCTAACCACTACCGCCTCTCATCTGCTACTCATCTGTTGTTGTGCCCATGGCTTCTACCAGCAACAACTGCTCCTCCTCTCGAGTCTGTAAATACGACGTGTTCCTCAGTTTCCGAGGCACCGACACTCGCAACAATTTCACCGATCATCTCTATCACCATCTTATCAGAAAAGGTATTTCCGTCTTCAAAGACGATCATACCCTCCAGAAAGGAGAATCCATTTCACCGCAGCTTCTACAAGCAATTCGAGATTCAAGGGTTTCTCTAGTTGTTTTCTCACGAAACTATCCTCGGTCAACATGGTGTTTGAATGAAATGGCTGCTATTGCGGAATGCCACAGAGAATTCAAACAAACTGTTATCCCTATTTTCTACGGTATCGATCCATCTCATGTTCGGAAGCACATTGGGGTTTTCAAAATTGATTTTAATAACTCTAACAAGAAGTTCAAGTGCGATCCAGACAAGGTTGATGGATGGGAGAGAGCTATGACTGAATTGGCCAATTTGGTTGGATTTGATGTTAGAGACAAGTAAGTCAAAAATTAAACACTCTTTATGAAAAATATGCGATGCTTTCTTTACACTTCTATTTTCTCTAATTATGACCAATATCTAATCAACATGATTCTTGATATTGTGGAGAAATGTGGCTTATGCACCCTAAATTACAATATCAGTTCTTCATGTTGTTATTACTCTTTCAGGACAGAGTTTACAGAGATTGAAAAAATTGTTCAAGCAGTAATAAAAGCATTGAAACATAAATTCTCAGGGTTTACCAGTGACCTTGTTGGGATGCAATATCGCATACAAGAATTAGAAAAGCTTCTAAAATTGAGTTCAAAGCATGACGACTTCCGAGTTCTGGGAATTTGCGGGATGGGTGGAGTAGGAAAGACAACTCATGCCACTGTTTTGTATGACAGAATATCTTATCAGTTTGATGCTCGTTGTTTTATTAATAACACAAGCAAACTTTATATGGATGGTGGTATTGTTGCTGTACAAAAACAAATTCTTCGTCAAACTCTAGCCGAAAGTAATCTAGACTCATACGATACTTGTGAAATCGCCGGAATTATGTTAAATAGGCTTCACAGTGGCCTTAAGGTCCTTCTATTTCTTGACAATGTTGATCAATTAGAGCAACTGCAGGAATTGGGTATAAATCCTAAATTACTATGGAGTGGTAGTAGAATAATCATAACCACAAGAGACGAGCATATTTTAAGAGTTTATGGGGCAGATAGAGTACACAAAGTTCCCATGTTGAATAGTAATGATGCCTGTGAACTTTTTCGTAGAACAGCCTTCAAAGGTGAAGACCAAAGCAGCGATTGTGTGGAGTTGATTCCAGAGATACTAAAATATGCTCAAAATCTCCCATTAGCAATTAAAGTAGTGGGCTCTTTCTTGTGTACCCGAGATGCTACTCAGTGGACCGATGCTTTGGATAGATTGAAGAACAATCCCGACAGTAAAATTATGGATGTGCTTCAGATGAGTGTTGATGGACTACAACATGAAGAGAAGGAGATCTTTTTGCACATTGCTTGTTTCTTTAAAGGGGAGAGGGAAGATTATGTTAAGCGAATTCTAGATGCTTGTGGATTACACCCTCACATTGGAATTCAAAGAATCCTTGAGAAATCTCTAATTATCATTAAAAACCAAGAGATTCATATGCATGATATGTTACAAAAACTGGGCAAGAAAATCGTCCGGCACCGGTTTCCTGAAGAGCCAGGATCGTGGAGTAGATTATGGAATTACCATGATTTCTATCAAGTATTGACAACAGAAACGGTAACAATTTTGTTTCCAAAATGCGATTTACACTTTGAGTGAATTTAACTTGTGTGGGGTTTTGTGGGGGAAATGATAATTTTAGCTTTCATTTGTGATTCCACATTATTTATTTCTTGGTTTATATCATTGAGTCATGTCAAAAGCTGTTTTTGGTCATCATTAGTTTAGTTTTTCTATATGTATCGTTAGTTTAGTTTTACTCTATACTATTTGTCCATATTGGAATTAATTCTGTAACATGTGACTAATTTCATTATGAACAATTTTTTGTTTGTTTGAGGAACATGGACAAGTATCTGAAGGACTAAATAACCAAGTGATTGGGCTCAAGTGGTTAGTAAATTTTAGTTAAGGATGAATTGTTTGGGAGACCGCATTTGAATATAAGACTGTAACAATTACTGACTAAACTTTACTTACCTCCTGACCAAACTCTGGAGGATGAGGTCCCTTTCCCCTAGGAACCGAAGGGTAAAGACCAAAAAGAAGAGAAACAAAAAACAAAATTATAACGAACAATTTTTTTTGTCTCTGATAATTCATGATTAAAACTAACCAGAGTTTTTTAAGGAGTGAACTGAAAAAGGTTGCATTATAGGAACTAAAAAATTATTTCAGCTATTTTTATTGTTAAGTGAAATTTTATGTCGAGCTCACTTTATGCCGAGGCTACCAATATTGTATTTCATTTAATATTATAAAAGATGTTAAAAAAAGTATTTAACATTATGTTACAATTCATGGTTAGCAATTCACTCTGTCCAAACTCGTCTGAGGCATGCTAATGTAGTGACAGTGACCTATCAGTTAGTAATGATGACTAGTCTTCAAGTCTTTGATATTATGCCTTCATGTATTGTTATAGATGTTGTTAGTAATATGACATAAGTTTGTTTCTTTAAAAATAAAACATTATGTTACAATTCCTAGGTGGTAGTCAACTGAGATGAGTAAGACGTCGTGAAATAATTCAGAGGTTTGTGTCTCTACTCACTTCTTTGAGGGAGATAAATGTAAGTACTACTGGGTGAGGGCTCAAAATAGTGTTTGAGCCAATAGATATTCTCTGCCTTATACCCTTGTTCTGGTACCATCCCTTACCATGAGATTCCTGTCATAAAAAAACAATGTGTGGCTAAGATTCGTTTTTTGTCAATTTTATTTTGAAGAGGTTTTTTGTATAGTTTTATATATCATTTTGATTATCTTGTGGTTGCCACTTTTTTACCAATTTTTCCTAAAATATCATCATGGAGTTCGTTTCAATTAACATTCATACTGGAAACTAGTTTTAAACAAACAATTTTAATAAAATCAATTACTATGTAGTTTTTTCACAGTTAATTTAAACACACTTTGATTCCATGATTTTCTTATTCCATTAAAAATTTCAACAGTGTAATATAGGATATATTGGTAGTTTTATGTTTCTGAAATGGTTAGGTCAAGTAATTTCATTTTTTTCTTCTGTCTATGTTATGCTTACTCTATTCTTTTCCCAGGGAACAAACAGTGTTAAAGCTATAGTTCTGGATCAAAAGGAAAGTTTCTCCAACTGCAGGGCTGAAGGATTTTCATATATGAGGAACCTTGCACTTCTCATATTGTATCATAACAACTTTTCAGGAAATTTGGATTTTCTTTCCAACAACTTGCGATATCTTTTGTGGCATGGATGCCCTTTTACTTCTTTGCCGTCAAATTTTGAGCCATATTATCTTGTGGAATTGAATATGCCTGATAGTAGCATTCAACGACTGTGGGAAGGTCGCAAGGTACTTTAATACTAGTTCTTTTCCATTTAAAATTTGTAGCCATGTAGGCTCAGAGTCGACATCTCGTTATTTTTTCTAAAAAGTTTTTAAAACGATCATTTGAAATTACTTGGTAAGGTATTTGTTAGTCTTTTTATTGTACGATTATGAAAACTGTCAAAATTAGGATTCTAAGACTAAGAAAGTGGAAGAAGAAGAGAAACTAACTAACAAAATATAAAAAAAAACTTCATTCATTTAATTATATTTCCAAAAGAAAATATTAAACTAAATATAATATTCTAAATAGATGTTAGTCATTCATGTGTCATAATCTCAATGGTCCAAAAAAGTTCCTAAAATCATAAGAATATAAAATAATAACTAATATATCAAAACACTATATCAGCATTTAATTTCCGAGCAATTTCCTCATTCTATTACTGCTGTGGTGAGTGTTGCAACACCTTAGGTTATCACACATCTTAATCCTATAACAACAACACCTAAGTGTGTTAATAAATTAAATTATTACTAACTGCCTAATTATTAGACAATAACTTATTACATGATATTTTTTTAATAAAAGTTTGCACTAACTTTGAAATCACACAAATGTTTTTACTGACGGTTGCTAATTCTTTATAGGAACTACCTAATTTGAAGAGGATGGATTTGAGCAACTCCAAGTATCTTATAGAGACTCCAAAGTTTTTTTTGACCTCAAAACTGGAGCGGTTAGATTTTACAGGATGCACAAACTTAATACAGGTCCATCCATCAATTGGACATCTTACCGAACTTGTTTTCTTATGTTTGCAAAACTGCAGCAGTTTGGTTGACCTTGATTTTGGTAGTGTATCAAGATTAAGTTCTTTGAGAGTTCTACGCCTTTCTGGTTGTACAAAACTTGAAAAGACACCAGATTTTATCAGCGCATCAAATCTTGAGTACCTTGATATGGATGAATGTACAACTTTATCCAAAGTTCATGAATCCATTGGGGATTTGACAAACCTTAAATTCTTGACTTTGAGAAACTGCACAAATCTGGTTGAAATGCCCGATAGAATTAAGAGGATGGCATCCCTTGTAACTCTAGATTTTTGCGGTTGCTCGAGTCTTACAATTCTACCCCTGAAATGGACTCCTACTGATCATATGAGATCTTTGATTTTTTTAGATTTAAGCTTTTGCAATCTTCATGAAGTACCTGATATTGGAACGTTAAAGACGCTAGAAAGACTAAACCTACAAGGAAACAAATTTCGTTCACTACCTTATGGTTCCAATGATCTTCAAAACCTAGCATATGTAAACTTATCTCATTGCCATGAGCTTGAAACTATTGAACTACCTTTAATTAGTGCTTCTTCTGGAGGAAGATATTTTAACATAGCAGTGGGATCTCGTGATCATAGGTCAGGATTATACATAATTGACTGCCCCAAGATCATGAACATTACTGGAAACCAAATCATAGAATATATATGGTTTCGAAGACTGCATGAGGTATGTACGTTGCTTACCTTCCCAAAATTCTCTAGCTTTGATATATTAATTCAGTATTCTTTTTTTTTTCTTCTGATCTAACATGTACAATCCAGAAGACCTATATTGCAACATATTTAAATTAGCTTGTTGCATTTCCTTAATAAGGAAAAGCTTTTCTAGGATATATATTTTTTACTACCTATAGGGTCTGTTTGCGAGTTGGTTTTTGGAGAGTTTTGGAAGGTTGCATCTATATTTTGATATATATTTAATATTTTAAAAAAGTGTAAAAAACAATATGATTTTCTAGGCTAATGTATTATATTGTTTTTTAAACTTTTTAAAAGTATCCAACACATCAAAATATAGACGTAGTCCTCCAATGCCTTTCCCTCCAAAATCCTTTAAAAGAACAACTCGCAAACGGATCCTTTGTCGACTAGTTATTAGCTGCAAGCTACTTATAGTGCTTTTCATTGCTAATAATTATATGCCATTTCCTTGCACTCTTTAGCTCTAATATGCTTGTGTTATTTTTCTTCTGGTACCAGAATCCCCAACACTTTCGGGGTGGCTTTGACATTGTTGTTCCTGTTTTTCCATCAAGTAGTTGTATTCCAAGATGGTTCAATCACCAATTTGATGGCGGTTCAATAGTAAGGATAGTAGATTTTGATGAGTTTGACAAGAAGTTTGGCTTTGCCTTCTGTGTGGCATTTGAGGTAAACAATTGTCCTGCGAATACTTGTTCTCCTCCACAGGATTCATTTTTCTCAGCACTCCCACATCCTTTATATCTTTCTTTTGAAAGTGAACACACAGAGGAACGCTTTGATATGCCACTCAGTTTGGATTTGAACAAAATTGATGGCTCCAAACATCTTTGGCTAATCTATATCTCTCAAGAGCATTGCCATTTTGTAAAAACTGGAGCGCATATCACATTTAAAGCCTGCCAAGGTTTGTCCATAAAGAAATGGGGATTGCGCTTGTTAATCAAGAATAAAGAATCATATCCGGCCCCTAGCTCCTGGGAACACTTATTGGACTATTATATGCCCCAACTTTTCTTAGACTATGTACAAAAAACCAGCATGAAGTCTGGAACTAAAATCCAACTTCCATACAATTGGTTGGTTACTGAAGACGAAGAAGTTGAGAATTCTGGAGCCAAGTCAAAAGAAACCGATCTTTCTAATCTCGGCCTTTAGATATACCAACCACAGCCAAAACGCACAACACGTCTGTGAGCCTTGAGGTAATTATCTCACCTAAGCAGTGACATAATGTATGTAATAATTCATTCCATTGCTAATTAATAATTAATTTTATAACTAATGATATAAATTATAAGTATAGCACATTCATCTTTTGCATTACACGTTTATCCAATAATTTCTCTTTAATTAATATATTGAGACTTTTTTTAATAATTTGATTTTTGTCTAGTGAATATATGCCTGATTATTTGAGGTTAAGGTTCTGTCATTAACCTGATCAGGTGAATGATGACATGGTAGTTACTGTTATTCTATGTTAATGGAGGATGAATGTTATTATCAGTTGTAACTTGGGAATTTCTTCAACTTTGCATGTCTGGGCTATTAGTCTCTTGATGGACAAATTCAGAATGATATAAAAAGATAGGGTTTGAAACTGCTCCTTAGATAGTTTACTTTAGTGGACAGTTATGTATTTCCTAAGCAGTTAATTTTTGTATTTCAACGGTTACTGGTTAATTAGCCTGAGTAAGAATAACTAAAGAAGTGCAAGAGGACTTGGTTATCCAAAACTCTCGAATTCTTGTAAGGAACCAAACCATATAGTTTCCTTATTTATTCCTTTTCTATATTTAGTCTTTTTTATTATAATAATTTTCTCCAAACAATATTCCTTTTTTTATATGAAATTGTGATCTACAAGCTATTGCTAAAGAATAAAGTAAACCAGTATTTCCTATTTTGTAATATGGTATAAGAGCCTTGGTTAGGGTTATAGAGTTAGGGTGCTACTGTAAAAGTTTTTCATAATTAGTGAAAATACTTACCACTATAAATTGACATTGTACGACTTGTTTTACGATCCGACCCAATTCAATGGTGGCAGATACTACTCGATGACAGCTAGTCTGATTGGTTCAACCGTTCAGCACCGGCCGTGGCGGAGGCTGCAGAAACGACAATGGTGGAGGCCGTGGCAATGGTAAGGGAATCAACAGTGATGCCGACAACGATCTTGATGATGGCAACAAGATCGATGGCGATATCAAATTTGAGATATGTTTCAATGACCGAGAGGATTCTTCAACCTCCTCCATGGGCGCCAAAGTGAAGCTTGGTTTTTGAACAGGTTCATTAGCAGAACTAATCATAGAAAGTCCTCTTTACAAAAAAAAATGGAAGTCAGAAAATTCCATAATTATTGCTTGTTCTGCAGACACTATGGAAACTAGAATAGGCCAAAGGCAGTGCGAGAAGCTGTAAGGGAAACATACTATGATATTCTCAATTCCTCCCAAATCTTCCGCGTGAAGTTAAAGAAGTTTTGAGATGCTAAGCAAGGGGATAGAGATGTATGACAATAAAATTAGTAAAATATCTGTGGGTACGCATGAGTACGAATGATGAGTATCTTGAAATTGATCAATGTACAAGTTTATCAAAGATTGATCAATTTGTTGGGGATCTTGCATAGCTTAAACTCTTGAGTTTAAGATACTGCACCAATCTTGTCAGTATGCCCAAAAGCATTAATTCTTTAATCTCTCTTGTTACTTTAGATTTATGTGGCTGCATAAAACTAGAGAATCTTCCCTTGCTAGGAAACATATCAGCTTCGTCAAAAAGTGTTGAGCTCTTTAATGATGAAGGCTTTAGCAATCTAAATACAATCCCTGATGCTATCGGAGAGTTAAGACATTTAGAAAGGCTAAGTCTTGAAGGAAACAACTTCGTTTCACTACCATCTTCAGGGGGAGGCTTTGCTGTCTATAGCATATTTAAACTTGGCACATTGCAGTCGGCTTCAATCTGAGCTCCAATTGTGTGCCACTTCTTCATCTGGGGAAGGTATTTTAAAATGATATCCGCATCTCATAATCATAGGTCGGGATTATATATTTTCAACTGTCCCTGCTTGTTGAAGACATGACAAAGTCTAGAAGGTTTGGCAGGGGGGTGTTCAAATTAACCGATTATATAAATTATTTATATTCATATTTAAATTTGGTTATGAAAAATCGGTTAATTATTAATATGATTTTAACTAAATTTATATTTTGGACAATTTATTAATATGGTTTTAACAACATTCATATTTTGGACTTCCATGTATAAAATAAAAACTAAATTGATATATTTTATGAAAATTAATTATTTTTAAATATATAAAAAATCGAGTTTTTTCAGAAATACGAAAAAATCGAGATGGTCGGAAATACAAAAAATCGAGTTTGGTCAGAAATACGAAAAACAGAGTTTGGTCGGAAATACGAAAAACCGAGTTGTCGGAAATATGAAAAATAGAGTTTTTTTTTTTTGAAAATACGAAATATTGAGTTTTGTCGGAAATACGAAAAAAATCGAGTTTTGTCGGAAATATGAAAAATCGAGTTTTTTTCGTAAATACGAAGAAAAAAAAGTTTTTTTTTCCTCGAGAATACGACAAATCGAGTTGTCAGAAATACTAAAAATCGAGTTTTTTTTCGAAAATACGAAAAAATTGGTATTTTTCGAAAATACAAAAAAAATAATATTTTTCAAAAATACGAAAAAATTGAGTTTTTTTGAGAATACGAAAAAATCGGAATTGGTTGGAAATACGAAAAAATCGAGTTTTTTCGATAATAGGAAAAAATCAAGTTTCGTCAGAGATACGAAAAAGTCAAGTTTTTTTTTTCGAAAATACGAAAAAAAACGAGTTTTGTCAGAAATACGAAAAATAGATTTTTATTCAAAAATACATAAGAGTTTTTTTCTCTCGAAAATACGACAAATCGAGTTTTGTTGGAAATACGAAAAAATTGAAAATACCAAAAAATTGAGTTTTTTTGAAAATACGAAAAATCGAGTTTTGTCGATAATATAAAAAATAGTGTTTTTTTTTTTTGAAATTACAAAAAAAAACTGAGTTTTTTTTCCCCGAAAATACGACAAATCGAGTTTTGTCAGAAATAATAAAAATCGAGTTTTTTTTTAAATACAAAAAATCGAGTTTTTTTTCGAAAATACGAAAAAATTGATATTTTTTGAAAATACAACGAGAAAACGAGATTTTTTTCTTCCGAAAATACGACAATTCGAGTTTTGTTGCAAATACGAAAAATCAAGTTTTTTTTCGAAAATACGAAAAAATTGATATTTTTTGAAAATACGAAAAAATCGAGTTTTGTCGGAAATACGGAAAAAAACGAGTTTTTTTTCGAAAATATGAAAAATCAAGTTTGGTTGGAAATACAAAAAATCGAGTTTCGTCGAAAATACGAAAAAAAACGAATTTGGGTTGGAAATTCAAAAAATTGAAATTTGTCGGAAATACGAAAAAAACGAGTTTTTCGAAAATATGAAAAAATCGAGTTTTTTTCGAAAATACGAAAAAATCAAGTTTTTTCGGAGATACGAAAAAGTCATGTTTTTTTCCGAAAATACGAAAAAAATGAGTTTTATCGGAAATACGAAAAATAATTTTTTTTTTCAAAAATACAAAAAAATGAGTTTTTTTTCTTCGAAAATACGACAAATTAAGTTTTGTCGGAAATACGAAAAAATCGAATTTACAAAAAAGTTGACATTTTTGGAAAATACGAAAAAAGTATTTTTGAAAATACGAAAAATTGAGTTATGTAGGTAATACGAAAAATAATTTTTTTCCGAAAATACGACAAATCGAGTTTTGTTAGAAAACTAAAAATCGAGTTTTTTTTTGAAAATACGAAAAATCAAGTTTTTTTCAAAAATACAAAGAAAAAAAACGAGTTTTTTTTCCTGAAAATACGACAAATCGAGTTTTGTTGAAAAATACGAAAAATCGAGTTTTTTAGAAAATACGAAAAAATCGATATTTTTTGAAAATACGAAAAATAGAGTTTTGTCGGAAATACGGAAAAAAATGAGTTTTTGTCGAAAATATGAAAAATCAAGTTTGGTCGGAAATACGAAAAATCGAGTTTCGTCGAAAATACAAAAAAACGAGTTTGGGTCGGAAATTCAAAAAATTGAATTTTGTCGGAAATACGAAAAAAATCGAGTTTTGTTTGAAATACGAAAAAATCAAGTTTGGCCAGAAATACGAAAATCGAGTTTTGTTTAAAATACAAAAAAATCAATTTTTTTTCAAAAATACGAAAAAATGAGTTTTTTTTTTTAAAATACGACAAATCAAGTTCCGTCGGAAATACGAAAAAAAAAATGAGTTTTTCGAAATTACAAAAAATTGAGTTTTTTCGAAAATACGAAAAATTGAGTTGTTTCGGAGATACAAAAAAATCGAGTTTATTTTAAATAGGAAAAAAATCGAGTTTTTTTCAAAAATACGAAAAAATTTAGTTTATTCGAAAATACAAAGAAATTGATATTTTTTGAAAATACGAAAAATCGAGTTTTTACAAAAATACGAAAAAATCAAGTTTCAGAACTACCAAAAATCGAGTTTTTTCGAAAATACGAAAAAATCAAGTTTTTTTAAAATACGAAAAAAAAGAGTTTTTTTTTCGAAAATTCAAAAAATCGAGTTTTTTCAGAAATATTAAAAATCGAGTTTAGTCGGAAATACGGAAAATTGAGTTTGGGTAGAAATACGAAAAATTGAGTTTTGTCGGAAATACAAAAAATCGAGTTTTCTTCTTCTTCGAAAATACGAAAAAATCCTGTTTTACCGGTAATACGAAAAAAATTGTGTTTTATCGAAAATACGAAAAATCAAGTTTTTTTTTCGGAAATACGAAAAAATGACTTTTTTTTTGGAAAATACAAAAAATCGAGTTTTGTCTGAAATACTAAAAATTGAGTTTTTTCGAGAATACGAAAAAATTGATATTTTTCAAAAATACAAAAAAGATGATATTTTTCAAAAATACGAAGTTATTTTTGAAAATACGAAAAATCGAGTTTTGTCGGAAATACGAAAAAAAATCATGTTTTTTCGATAATACGAAAAAATCAAGTCTTGTCGGAAATACAAAAAAGTCGAGTTTTTTTTCGAAAATACAAAAAAAAATGGTTTTTTTTTTCTTCGAAAATACGACAAATCGAGTTTTGTCGGAAAGATGAAAAATCGCGTTTTTTCGAAAATACGAAAAATCGAATTTTGTCGGAAATACGAAAAAATTGAGTTTTTTTGAAAATACAAAAAAATGAGTTTTTTTTCGAAAATAAGACAAATCGACTTTTGTCTGAAATACTAAAAATTGAGTTTTTTTTTATCGAAAATACGAAAAAATCAAGTTTTATCGGAAATACGAAAAATCGAGTTTTACTTCTAAAATACAAAGAAAAAAAAAAACGAGTTTTATTTCTTTTGAAAATACGAAAGAATAGAGTTTTTTTTCGAAGATACGAAAAAATGAGTTTTTTCGAAAATACGAAAAAAAATCGAATTTTGTCGGAAACACAAAAAATCGAGTTTCTCGAAAATACGAAAAAATTAAGTTTTTTCTAAAATACGAAAAATTTAGTTTTTTTCGAAAATACGAAAAAATCAAGTTTTTTTTCTTCGAAAATATAAAAAATTTGAGTTTATTCGAAAAGACAAAAAAAATCGATATTTTTCAAAAATTCGAATAAATCGAGTTTTTACGAAAATACGAAAAATCAAGTTTTGTCAGAAATACGAAAAATCGAGTTTTGTTGGAAATATGAAAAATAGGGTTTTTTCAAAAATACGAAAAAATCAAATTTTTTTTTTTGAAAATACCAAAAAAAAATTAGTTCTTTTGAAAATACGGAAAAAAAATTAAGTTTTTTCAAAATTACGAAAAATCGAATTTTTTTCGAAAATACAAAAAAATTGAATTTTTCTTTAAAATACGAAGAAAAAAAATTGAGTTTTTTCAAAAATTCAAAAATATTGAGTTTTTTTTCAAATATACAAAAAAAAATCGAGTTTTAAAATCGGTTATGAATCTATAACCGGTTACAAATTTTGGTTTTGGATAAAATGATTTTATAAGATTATGTAAAAATATAACTATTTATATGCATTGATTATGATAACCAATTATAAAAAATAATTATAAATTGAATATGAATCGGTAATCCGTCCATAAGTATTCATATTTGTCAGTTTTGTGGTTGAAATATTTAGCGAAGGTGCACAATTTTCATTCCTTCTTTCTCCCCTCCCCATCGTCTTTCTCTCAAGATTTGATATATTGTGATATTTTTTTACTCTGGTACCAGAGTCCTTGTCATTTCCGGTGCGGCATTGACATTGTTGTTCATGGGTACACAATTCGAGAGTGGTTTCATCATCAATTTAAGAAAAATTTATTAGTAAGGATATAACACTATACAAATGAGTTTCATAATTGGCTCGATTTTGTCTTTTGTGTGGCATTTAGGGGTGTTTGCGAATCGGTTTAGTTCAATTTTAAAAAAATTTAATATTCAAATTGATAAAAAATATATAAATTGATTTTAATTGGATATTCATATTTTTTTTATAAAATCCAAATCAAGAAATAAGGGATTGGTTTGAATTAGATTGATGGGATATATTAGACACAAATGTGATCTATCGTATAAGAAAAGTACATGCTCTGGAAAATTCCATTATACCTTTCTGTTTCTACAATGTGTCATGTGTATAGCTTCTCCATTCTCCAACTCTTACTTTGCTACATCAAGTGAAAATACTGGTAACACAAGCAGAATTTTGTTTTCCAAATCAATTCATTTCTTGCATTTAATGTTCTTTAGAAACTTTTCATATTTCCAAATATTTTATTAACCTTATTTCTAATCAAAATGCAATTCAACTTTTGCGTTTTCTTTCTGTTTGGTTTTTCAATACATTGCTTGTTTTTGGTTCTCTTTTAT